CAAACCAATGTAATTCCTTGTTTAAAAGGTCTTATTAAATTAACTTATAGCAACACACATACCACTCACACATAGACAGGCAGTTCCTGCAATCCCAATCCTTGAACCATACACTGAGCCAGGCAATGGGTGAACGAGTTAAAGCCATGTGTCAACAAGGCAAGTGTATGTGGTCAGAGAAAACACACAACTCCCCCTCTACTGTCCTGAGTAGAATATGGAACAAATATATCAACATGAAGTAACCATGGTAACAGTTGATAATACTCATTGGTACTGAAAATATATACTCTTCTTGTTTACTGCCTGAATGTTGCTGCACACCAGAACTACCACATCTGGTTGACAAAATGTCTGATTGTCATTTGTCAGCTAACTAGAAACATAAAATCTGACTAATCTGACTAATCTGCATAATACATCTTTTGGTTTAGTGATTTACAGGAATTACAATATAGATACAGACTCTCTGCGTCTTCTGCTATAAAATACCCTGCATCTACTGAACAACATCAATGGCCAATGGAATACAAGGTATAGACTGGGCCAATCAGATCACCCAAGCATAAGGTTTAGTAGGAAATCTGTCATAGGTTGCTTTCAATTGTTAACACAACAAGCTTGCAAGTTATGGCCATATCTACACATGGCACAGTACATCGCTTTAAGTCTACCATCAATAGATATACACGTCCCATACAAGCCATGTTAGCAAGTGGCAATGGTCTAAATACAGTGAGATACCAGCGTACGTATTCGAAGATTGGAAAGATGTTTCATTTGCTGTTTCATTCAAGTTAGGAAGTTAGCTTCCTATTCACTTTAAGTGAGTGAGTGAGTGAGCATGGTTTTATTCCGCTTTTAGCAAAATTCCAGCAATATCACGGCGGGGGACACAGAAATGGGCTTCACACTTTGTACCCATGTCGGGAATCAAACCCGGGTCTTCAGCGTGACGAGCGAACACTATAACCACTAGGCTACCCGACCGCACCTATTCACCTTAAGAGTTTTACAAGGTTCAAGGATGGTTTTCCAACAATCACAATCTATTTTGCCTTGCTTTTTTGTACTTCATTTCCTTGAGAGGTTAGAGGTGGGGGTAATATATACTGATAGCTTACTGTATGTGGCTTGTACAACAGGTGTTTGAACCCAGATTAAATTGTCTACCATTTGAGGTGCAGGTTGTAGATTTTAAATGTCTTGGGTAGGATATTTTAGTTCAAAGTGACGTCTTAACTTTCATCAGGTATCAGTAGGTTTGAATAGGACCGGTATGCCTGTTGATGGTAGATCACAATAATGACATCAAATATCTCTCATTGCACAACATGTCATGAGGACTGAAGGTGTAACCTAGGACAAGAGGACCCAAAGGACAACATGGTAGTGAAGGACAACTCACATAATTCTTCAACAGGACAACAAAAGATCAGAATATCTTTTGGCAACAATTATATCATAAATCTAACTTCAGCAATAATCATTAACTGAAATATGGTTGCAATATTAGAAACGTTATATCACATGAATGTCATCACATATCTCTAAATAAAACTTTGATATACAATTGAACTGCCGTGATGGAATGTAACAGCTCGTGGTCAGTTCTTGTCACAGACGTATGTTTGTGTCCAGATAGCCATGTGGAATCTCTCTGACAAGGCACCTGTTATTAAAGTGGTTTTAAAAATATAATCAGTGTGGTTCTCTCAAAACTGAACTTTGTGATAAATGACAACATAATCCTTGCAGTTCTTACTGCAATTAGATGTTACGGAGAAATGTGTCTCACATCACAATCTATGATATTCATGTCAACATTATCAAATCTCATAAAATCTATAATGTAAAATCACCTGTGTCTTGTTCAATGATGGAATCATAGAAGAACAATTGATTGGGTAAGTTTGGTTTAACGCTGCTTTGAACAGTTGTTCAGTTGTATCAATGTGTGTCATCTTGATGAATGAGGAAAGCCCGAAGTGATGCAGGTCATAGACTGTGGTGAAACCCACAAGCACGAGTATGGTGCTAACAAACCTAGATCATAATCAGGACAAATGTGGGATATGATCACAAGGGATGCAATTCTGCATCAACTGAAAGTGAGGTGAGGTAAAATTGGGTTTAACGTCGCGTTCAAGATTATTGCACTTATATAGCGACGTGCATGCACGAGTGTGTGTGGCTGTTTGTACTAGTCCGGACTGATGCCGATTTATAGTGCTAGCTCACTGAGATACCATGCCGCAGTTTAACATGAATACCCCACTCAGACACAGTATACTGACTCCGAGCCGACCAGTCCTTGTTTTAGCCCCTTAATGCCGAGCGCCAGACAGGGTAACAACAAGTACCATATTTTAACGTCTTTTGGTATGACGCGGCTGGGGATCGAACCCCGGACCTTCCGCTTTCCAGGCGGACGCTCTACCACAAGACCACGGAGGCGGTCTCAACTGAAAGTACAGGCCTTCCCTTATATACCTACTCTACATGGTTCTTGTTGCTATGGTTTATAAGAGTAGGTGTATTTGCTGGTCCAAATCTCCGGCTTGATTTTAAGTTAGGTCAGGGTTAGGGTTAGCCCCCAATGCCAAGCACCAGGCAGGGTAACAACAAGGACCATCTTTTTACTGCTTTTGATATGACATGGTCGGGGATCGAACACCTGACCTTCAGCTCTCCGGGCAGATGCTCTACCACTGGACCATGGAGGCAGTCTTTGAAATGGGAAGTAAATGTTGCCATACACTTGAAGGATCAGCCAACTGGATCATTTGGCAATTTCAAGGTCATGGGCTAGGTTACATATAGAGCAAAGATTTCTGGCATATTCACTGTCTGAGAAGTGGCCACGTCATTATACAGAAATGCATATTGACTCCAAATCAGGTCGGATAATTTATGGAACTGTCTTGATACTAAAATTAGAATGGGACTTACACAGAAGTGGACATGTGCATTGAGATTGTCCCTCAGTGATGTGCAATTTTGCTCTTTTGAAATAACCTTATCATTATCATTATTATTATTATTACCCAAACCTTACCCAATCAAATGTCTCTGTTTGTTGGAACCTAACACTATTGTAGCTGACAAAGTCTGACATGTTGAATCTGCTCCTGTCTCTTTATTATTTAATAAAACAATCATAGACATTACACGAGGTCAATACCTTGATGAACCCGAAAAAAGCACTATAGACCTTGTGCGAGGTCGACAATGCTTTTTTCGGGTCCAAAAAACAGGTACTGACCTCACATAAAGTCTATGATTGTTTACTATCGTCTAGATCTAGACTGGGCACAGGCTCCATTCTGTGAAGCATTGCCCTTAAATGAACAGATAGGCATCAATATGATTGAGGGATGATGTCTAACTCTGTGATAGTTGCCATGGAAAATTGGATCACATATGGGTGATCTATACCAAACAATAATTTTATATACAGGTCTATATCATATATCATTACAATGATTCTTTCCCATGATAACAGCCAAGGAATATAATAGCGATGGTACATACACATATATTCTATGCCAGGCAAATAACTGTAATCAACAAAATGGTATGCACCAGTAGAAGAGTAGCAACATTTTTACAAGAAAGACATTGGGTGAATCAAAGACTTCAAATCATGGATTGAAACTAAAATGGAATTGGAATCAAACCACACTACATTCATACGGATAAATACAAACATACATTCTCTCTATAAACAGATTTAGGGGACTTATAACAGCGGATATTTTGTTGAGAACATGCTATAACAAAATTGGGAATCACAACATATTTACAATGTAAAGTTGACATCAACATACAAAAATATGGAATGTGAAGCTAACATGGTAGTAATTTTCACAAAACCATAGTAACACCATCTCCACATGGATCTCCCAACAGTGTCCCTCACACAGGACCATGTGTGTGTCTGTAAGATGTAGTGATGACTGAGCATATCAAGGCCTCGGTGTGCTCTTGGAGCTTCCACTAATGTCCCATGCACTAATTGCAGTGTGAAATAATTAATAAATAGTATAAGCCAGTTAGGCTGAAATGATTTACTGATGGACCGTGATGGTCTCATTGATGGACTCAACGACATGTTAAATGATTTGTGTCATTCTAATTCGATAAGTAGTGTTTCACAAATTGAGACAATTTTCTGCTACATCTGGTACTGATGAACATTTCAGGTAATACATTATTCCATCTGATCATTGGTCATTTGTTGGTGTCGTGTGGTTGGTAGGGGATGGGATAGGGAAGTATAGGTTGGGGTGGGATGGGGAAGTATAGGTTAGGCAGGTTAGGCTACCGCTAAACAAAGATCTGAGGACATCCCATTACGGGTCACGTCAGACCGACCTTGCGTGAACTTTGACCGACCAATGGATTGACCAATCAGAAGGGAGCTTTCTTGTGCTTTACGGCACCAATTTCAAATTGGCGACTTCGCTTCGAAACATATTTTGACAATTTCTCGATTACAAATTTGAAACCTGAACAAAAGAACATTCTGGAATGGCTAATAAATGATCTAGATTGTATGGATTCAGTCGTTAAACCTGTAAGTAACGTTCTGAATACCCCGTGTTATGCTTTTAGAGGTAGAAATCACATTCCGACTGTCACTTTCATAACCTGGGAAGCGACGCTCTGATTAGTCGGATGAAAGATCGTTCTGACGCGACCCCTTATGGGATGTCTTCAGATCTTTGTTCAGCGGTAGCGAGAACTAGGGTCTGATTTTAATGAGATTGGGCAGGGATGGGAAAGTATAGGTTAGGGTGGGATGGGGAAGTATAGGTTAGGGTGGGATAGGGAAGTATAGGTTAGGCAGGGATGGAGAAGTATAGGTTAGGCAGGGATAGGGAAGTATAGGTTGGGCAGGGATGGAGAAGTATAGGTTGGGCAGGGATGGGGAAGTATAGGTTAGGGTGGGATGGGGAAGTATAGGTTAGGGTGGGATGGGGAAGTATAGGTTAGGCAGGGATAGGGAAGTATAGGTTAGGGTGGGATGGAGAAGTATAGGTTAGGCAGGGATAGGGAAGTATAGGTTAGGCAGGGATGGGGAAGTATAGGTTAGGGTGGGATGGGGAAGTATAGGTTAGGCAGGGATAGGGAAGTATAGGTTAGGCAGGGATGGAGAAGTATAGGTTAGGCAGGGATAGGGAAGTATAGGTTGGGCTGGGATGGGGAAGTATAGGTTAGGGTGGGAGAAACCTACATTGATGGAGATTGTACATGTTTACCGCAATGGTGAAACCTAAGAAAACGGGTATGTTGCTGCTCATTATCGGAGTAATGTCTGGGATTTTCATCCACATCAAGAAGATCCTGGCAGGCTAAGGGACACTACTCCATAATTTGACAGCTTTAGACCACAAGGTCACCCATTCCCCATCTTGACACTGATCGAACAGAACACCCATTTTTTGTAAGGATTGATCAGTTGGATAAAAAAGTTAATGTTCTCAATATCATTTCAACAGAATATGTGTCACTCAGATTGAGAATTATAGCAAGCAAGTCAGTCTATTTACATCCAAGTTAATTACATGGAGACCCAGCATTCATCAGACCAAAGAGCACATGCTTTTTTCACATACTGGTACAAACTATCTCTGGTCCTTCATTGTGGAACTCTTGAACACAAAGAGCACCGTTTTCTTCAAATGTTTTCTTCATAACCTTCTCACCCTGACAACATACTGAGCAGCATTCTGTACAGTAACATGGATCAGCAGCATGGTCAATCTGGAACTGTACACAAATACAATGACAATAGCACCATCATTCACACACTAAGTAGTCACAAAAATACAGGATTATGACTGTATGTAGATTATGTCTGAGCTGTCTACATTTTGATTCAGATTAAGGCAGCTGTTGTCGTGAGGATCTGTACTGTTGGCAGTTGTCTCCCCTGAGCTTGTGTAGACCTGCGATGTTATGGAACACGGACTGTCTACATTGTCTAACATCTCCCTCACTCTTTTGTAGATACATAAAGATTGAGATTGGATGACACGAAAGGAAAGAAGGGAGTGTATTCTATTATGTTTATGTCATGGCCCAGTTGAAGTTTTGTTCTAATGATCAAAATTGTTTTGATTATGAAGGTTGGATGAGAATGTCAACGTAAATATCTCCTCTGTCCTCTTTGCCATTAAATTTTATATTATTCAAGGTCCATCTATCTTTGTTTCTTATTAGATTACCAAGAAGAGAGAATCTGACAGAGGTGCTTGTATATATACTGAGAGAGCAAGTGTAGTATGCCAACAGTTTCATTGTAAAAGTAGCCATCTGTAATTGTTCAAGGGATACTTGATATTTTTAGGTGTTGCTACTATACTATGGCATTTAGTGTGGAGATTTGGTAGATGATTGGTGTCAGTGTTGGATTTCTGGGTGCAGGAGGTTACCCTGTAGATTTTAGAATAGCAAGGTGAAGGAAAAAAAGATTATGTGAGTCTTGTAGCTCTGGGTATAAATGTTCATGGATGAAGCTGTTGAACACATCCTCAGTTCTGGAAGGAGATATATTAGACTGCCTAAAAGTACCCATTTCTGGAAGTAGGAACGGGATGACTTAACCAGCTTACATGTCTTGATCTAATTATATGGTTCAAAGATGATATTGTTACTTGGCTCTTGCAGCTCTTGGAGCTGATGTCCCAGGATAAAATATTCTGTGTTTTCTATGGGTTTGTTTTGATGTTCCAGCATAAAATGCTCTCTGCCAACTGGAGCTGTGTTTTGATGTTCCAGCATTAAGTGTCCTAGGCCTCCTTGAGCTGTGTTTCGATGTTCCAGGACAAAGTGTTCTATGCTTCCTGGAGCTGTGTTCAGATGTCCCAGAAAGAAGTGTTCTATGCCTCCTGGAGCTGTGTTCAGATGTCCCAGAAAGAAGAGTACTATGCTTCCTGGAGCTGTGTTCAGATGTCCCAGAAAGAAGTGTACTATGCTTCCTGGAGCTGTGTTCAGATGTCCCAGAAAGAAGTGTACTATGCCTCGTGGAGCTGTGTTCAGATGTCCCAGAAAGAAGAGTACTATGCTTCCTGGAGCTGTGTTCAGATGTCCCAGAAAGAAGTGTACTATGCTTCCTGGAGCTGTGTTCAGAAGTCCCAGAAAGAAGTGTACTATGCCTCGTGGAGCTGTGTTCAGATGTCCCAGAAAGAAGTGTACTATGCTTCCTGGAGCTGTGTTCAGATGTCCCAGAAAGAAGTGTACTATGCTTCCTGGAGCTGTGTTCAGATGTCCCAGAAAGAAGTGTACTATGCCTTGTGGAGCTGTCTTCAGATGTCCCAGAAAGAAGTGTACTATGCCTCGTGGAGCTGTGTTCAGATGTCCCAGAAAGAAGTGTACTATGCTTCCTGGAGCTGTGTTTAGTAGATATTCCACGACATGGCAGGAGGAAGTGTTCTCTGATTGCTGAGTTGATGTGGCAGAATGGCTATGGCTCCTGTAGCTCTGGGTGGAGATGCGTGAGCATGAAGTAAGCAATGTCCTTGTTTGTCCAGTAACAGAAGTGTGAGGTGAGCACGGACATGTAGCTGTTCTCCAGACTCCTCTCCCTCAGTTGGTAGTCAAGGCGATACTCCAACTCTGAGGACAGCAACCAGGTTTACATTAACATAAGTTAACTGACGATATCAAAACAACGTTCATCAATATACACATAGTGGGGCAAAAGCATGATCTGAACATGTAAAACATTACCTAATCCACCATATATTACAACATTTATGGCTAACAATATTCATGACAGAGTTACTTTAAGATGGTTAAGCTTAATATAATTTCTTTTGTAGAAATAAGTAACCTTTATCTCCCGAGTCAAACATGAAACATTATAAACTCTTTCACTAAAACAAAGTTTCATCATTAGCACTAATACATGAACATAATTGGGGAAGGGAGGGTCAAAAGTAGAACCCCCTACCTCCTCCATTATTTGATTAAGGAAGTGGCAAGAAGAAGCAAATCCCAACATTTGCCTGAAGATGGGTGAAAAAATAGGCCATGACTTAATTATGGTCAAGAATTAATTGTCCAAATTATATAATTATTGGACCAAAAAAATTGAAGATCTCAATATTTGACTTTGTTACAGATACTGTAATGAAGACATCTTGACAAAACTTGTCATGACCCAACAAGCTGATAAGCATATGATAGCTTTATCCACAGCGGACCCAGGCCTTAGTGGGTCTTCAAGAAATCTCTCAGTGCCAAAATTCTGTTTTATGATGGCTGGCACAAATCTTTCAAAAGCCATTGGTGGAGAACCAACAGTTTGATTATTTCATGGCCAGTGTAATTATCACTAATCTTTCCTGAAAAGTGAAAGGGAGGGTATATCATGAACATTAGTTTCCAATTCTTTCAAAGTGTGGCCATGATCATGATGATCAATCCTATTAATCAACTGGCAGACATATACTCAAAATGAGTCCAGTCTCTACGACCAAATTACAAATAAGTGGTGAAGGAGGTCTTACTGGGGTCAGGCAGGCATGATATCTGTGTATAATTTACACTGGCCTTATATAGTGTTAATGAATACTTGAAATGTTGACTATATACTACTCAAAAGAAGTTAAAGAACACCTGAATGAACATTCCTTAACTTCTTTTGAGTAGTATACTATAACAAGGATAGAAATATTCATAAAACCTGGATAAAACCCATGACAAAGTTTAATAAAGATGAATAAACCAAACTGAACAGAACGAGTGGGGTTTAATTTAAATAAAATCTAACTGAAAGACTGTTTGTCCACAGGTCAGGATACCATAGCATTTCTGGTGTCCCCTGCTGTGATATTGCTGGAACATTGCTAAAAGCGGCGTAAAACCATACTCACTCACTCACTCAGGATACCATAGAGACAGAAAAAGGGGTTTTCATAGTTTATTGTAAAGATGAGCACCAAATATTAAACCCACAGCTAATTTGTTTGATAAACTCACCAATCTGGTACATTTTAAGCCATCTTACGAACCCGCCTATAATGTAGTGAAAACAGTGAACAAAGCAGTCAACAGTGTAGCCCTGTTTGACCAATCTTATTTTTTAAACCATTTTGATGACGTCATGCTCTTGTTCTTGTTGTGAATTTTGAGCAGGAATTCACTGGCCATTTAGAAAAACTGATGCCACTTGAGGTCATTATGCAAAATTATGAAGAAATTATATATCAACCATAACATGGTTTAAGTCAGAGAAATCATTCAAATCTGTTTCTCATGATTTTTCCATTACAGAACATCTGACATGTTATAATGTGCATCAACAATGTGCAGATTCGATAATACTTTGATCATGTTCATACTAATTCCACGGCTTCAGATTAATTCAAATTCAAAAATTGACTAACTGTTTAAAAAAATGTCCTTAAGATTCTTTTGAAAACAAATCATTGATAAAGAAGAATGTTCTTTCAAAACTTGTAAAGAAATCATGAAATGTTGTATTGCCATTTGTCTAGTCAGATATATCTGAAACAAATTGTGTGATTTATGGTGTAATGGACAATTTGGACATGTCAGAAGAATGATTTTGGATGATCTTACACTCATGTGAAACATCTTTTCAAATATATCAACACTCATTGATGGAGATGTATTGACGTAAACAGTGATCAAAAGACACAAGGAAGATATTTTCTGCACACATGTTATTAGGTCTTATGGTCCCCAGGACCTGAAGTTGATGAGGTTTCACTGTAATCATGACAACTGATCTTGGTTTCAATTCAAAGGCTTTGTGAAAAATGCTCAAGGTGGGAGGAGAGCTGTAACAGTGAAAAAGGTTTTCTGTTTTTGGTAAAGAGACAATTATTCAAAGTATGTTTTTAATTATTCTGGTTAGATGAATGATGATGTGAAAAAACAAACAAGTAAAAATGATGTCCTTAAACATGTTAACAATGTCTGATGGGATATTTTTGTTTTCAAATGCAACTCTTAATGTTTTGTATTTGGTGTGTTTCCACAACATATCTTAAGTCAATCGATCGCCAATAAGAAGTGGTGCAGCTGAGAACCATAAAATTCATAAAATCTTTCATAATTTCACGTCCCCTAGTTAACAATAAGAATCCAAAGTATTCCAAAACATAAACACCCCTCCAATAAAACATGAAGAATCTGCCATGGCTTCCTCATAGGAAAGTAGCTGCATGCCCAAAATGTTTAGGAATTAACCGACAGGTATATCAGGTGTATATATATATATGCACGTTTTTTATCCAATTACTGAAAAGTTACCAAAGTAACACAGAGAAATTAGGATGATTCTTGAAGTACTGTACACAGCTGAAGTGACAACAGTTAGAGAATACTGACCTGTCTTGTCAATGTCTTTAGGGTCCATGTACATTTTCACCTGTAACTTCTCAGCATCACTGTCCATCTTCTGCAGCATCTTCAGTTCTGCTGCCAGTGAGTCCTCGCCCTTCTTGTTGGCTCGAAAATCTGTCAGCCATTTGGCTACACAACAAAAATGGAATGTGATAACTGCAGGGAATTTTGTAGAATTTTCCTATTCGGAATATTCTATAAGTAATACGTTACCACTGTTATACCGAGGCTGTTGTCTCCCACAACTGCTGCTATAGCGAAATCTACCACAGAGATCTCAATTACCTCATGCAGCACGTGCGTAGCCACCTAGCTGCCATGTGACACCCTTCACTCTTGTCTCCTGCGAGAGCAAGTGCTCGGGGGACGGACGGGCGGGCAGCAGCCCAGTGGTAACGTATTACTTATAGAATATTCCGAATAGGAAAATTCTACAAATTACATTAAGTAATACGTTACCACTGTTATACCGAGGCTGACTACCACAGTAGGCGGTGGGGAGCACCTACAACCCGAATCCTGACTGCTAGCGTTCCTTCCGACCAGCGGAAGTAAACACCAAGGCGGAAGCACTCGATGCGCATGCACCTAGCTAGGCGTTACCCTATAGGAATACCAAAGCACTGTCAAGCGCATACCGTAAGGCTCAATCGTCAATGCCAAAACGATTGGTGACTCCAAACGGCCCCACTGGATAGGTATTTCATCGCCGCAGCGGATGAGAACACTGTATCCGCGTGAGCTAAATCTTAGATCAGGTTAAACAGTCGAAAAGAGGGAAATTAATTTCCTTCAGACCGTATATCCCAGAGCAAGCCTACTTAAAGTATGCATTAGGCGCGTGACCTAATTCCAGTATTCGTAAGCATGTATCGCAAGGTTGGAATACACGACAGACAATTAAATGCATAATTGTCAAAATACAAATAAGGACAAAACACACAAAAAGCCGCCTCACCTGTGGTGTGAGTGCGCTGGTTTGCAGGACCCCCACTCCTGTACCCACGGCGTGGGAACATTGGAGACGACCCAGATTGACCACCGTGCAAGGACTGACGACTGCGGAGTTTGGAATTGCGCTGGACACACCCCCTAGATGACCGCTTGTGCCGCGATCAGCGGCCCAAGACGGTGCACCCCCTCCACGTCTTCATCAGAAACCTTTCTGAGGTAATGATTGGCAAAAACCGAGTCAGAACGCCAGTAACAACCTCCTAATATTCTGTGAACAGAGATATTCGAGTGTAGGGCAAATGTTGCCGCTAGCGCCCTGATCTCGTGCGGGTTTGACCCCGCTACCGGTAACCCCCGAGACCGGTACGCCAGATTGATGACAGAACGAAGCCACAACGCAATCGAGTTGCGAGTTATGTCAACCGTGCGATTAGGGTTACACGATATGAACAGACGGTCACGCCCTTGTCTACGTTCGGAGCCTTAAGATAATACTTAAGGGCCCTAACCGGACACAGCGCTCTGTCCTCAGTATCAGCAGGATGTAAGATTTCTTTGAGGGATCTTACAGTGAATTCTCTCTCCGTTTGCCCGACTCTCTGATTCTTGGCGACGAAGCCCATGAGCAGGCCCAGGCGGACCGCTCCTTCGTCACCCCTATCGAATCGTACCTTGGCGACATCGAGTGCATGAATTTCGGATACACGTGCCGCCGTGGCAAAGGAGAGGAGAAATGCTGTTTTCCAAGTCACATGCCGGAACGAAGCACTATGCAAGGGTTCATACGGAGCTTCCGTGAGTGATTGCAACACTAGGGAAAGATCCCAGGCCGGTGCCCGAAGGCGGCCCTTCTTAAGATCGTGCTGTTTGAAACCCTTGATAATACCCCGTATCACCGGCTCTTTGGAGAGACTGGTACCCATAGCAACGTCCCGTACCGTAGCAACGGACGAGACATAGTTGGCAATGGAACCCCCGGAGAGTTTCCGGGTCTCTCGCAAGTGAGACATGAAACGAGCAATATCCTGCACAGATACCTTATCTGGCGAATGAATGTGATGTTTACAACACCACTTCGTGAAAATAACCCAACGTGCATTATACACCTTCTGGGTAGAATCACGATGCATACTAACGTATGCCCGAGACGCCCGGCGAGAAAAAGATTGAACTGCCCTGCGTTTGGATGAAGCTGACGGGTGTGAGGGTGGATCAAGAGATCCGGTCTCACAGGCAGTGGGAGTGGCGACTGCGTGACCTGGGTCAGCAAGTCGGGGTACCACGATCTGTTCGGCCACATGGGCGCGATCAGTAACATTCGACAGCGAACTCCTCGAAGCCGGCTTAGAATGTGTGGTATCAACGCTGTCGGCGGGTAAGCATAAGCGTCCAAGCCCGTCCAGTCTAACGCGAGAGCATCGTGATCGATGGCCCTCGGGTCCGGGACTGGTGATACAAACAACGGGAGTTGATTGTTGAACCGTGTTGCGAACAGGTCGACCATCGGACGACCCAAACGTTCGCACAGCCACTGAAACACCACTGGGTTCAGCATCCACTCTGTGGGGCTCGGATCCTGAGGCCTCGATAGAGCATCGGCCAGTACGTTCCGCACACCTGGGATGTGACGGGCGCGTATCTGGCACGGGACACTGTCCACCAGAGCGTAAAACTCGAACGTGAGATCGAGTAGCGAGTGACTGTGGGTTCCCCCCAGTTTGTTCACATAGGACACTACCGTCGTGTTGTCGGTCGCCAGCATGAGCCGGGCGTCGACGAGACGATGCTTCCAGTGATTGACTGCGTTGATCACTGCCTTGAACTCGAGACAATTGATGTGAAGACCTAGTTCGTCTACGCACCACAGCCCCGAGCTCACCTCCCCCTCTAGATGGGCGCCCCAGCCCACTAGAGAGGCGTCTGTATACAGGTTCAACGTGGCCCGGTAGGGCCGCATAGAGACTCCTGATAAGACATTGTAAGGGAGCGTCCACCACTCCAGATGCGGTCGGAGCCGATCCGGGAGGGCGACGGTCGCACTGTTCACCTCCGTTGCTAACAACTGGATTAAAAACCATTGCAGCGGGCGGAGTTGGAGACGACCCCGTTCGGTGCAGTCCTGGGCTGATACAAGTAGCCCTAACAGCTGTTCCCAAAAGTGAAGAGTCTGTTGCACCGCTAAGACTTTGGCAATCATCGCCTGAATTTTGTGCCACCGGTCTGGGGGGACAAATAGGCGATGGGACACCGTGTTGAACCGACCTCCGATGAACTGCAAGTTCTGAGAAGGGGTTAACTCGCTCTTGGGGAGATTGACAATCCACCCCAATTGCTCCAAGAGCCGACGTGCGAAAACGAGATGGCGTGACAGGGTGTCCGACATTCGATTTGCTACTAGCGAGTCGTCCAGGTACGCGAAGTACCGGACACCCCTCCGGTGGAGGAACCCCACTATGGGGGTGGTTAACCGGGTGAACAGCCAGGGAGCGGATGAAAGACCGAAGTACAACCCACTCGTAGTGCCTGCCTTGAAAGACAAACCTGAGATACTTCTGATGATCCGAGTGAATCGGAACATGCAGATAAGCATCCTTCAGGTCGATCGAAGCTAGCCAGTCGGCCGGCATGATCAGTGCTTTCAGGTCCGTCAAGCTCAACATTCTGAACTTGGGCGGTTTGCGCAGGTAGAACTCGTTGAACGATTTCAAGTTGTGAATCATTCTGAGTTCGGCACTGTCCTTCTTGGGAACGAGAAATATCCTGGAGTAAAACCCCGGTGTTATTTCTGGTAGAGCTAACTCCCGAACTGCCCTCTTCTCCACCAACCTGCCGATGGCATCGGCGAGGAAGGGAAGATCGGTTTCCGAATAGAAACCTGCCGACGGGGCAACGGTGAGCGGCGGATTCGCTATGAGATCGAGCCGATAGCCGTACCGAATCGTGTTGACCACCCACGGGTCGTCGAACACTTGTTCCCAATTCTCCCAGTAAGTCTGGAGTCTGGCTCCCACTGGGGAAAGAGAGGGGGGCCGGACGGGCTGCGGCAGGCGCAACTGTCCAGGGCCAAGTGACTCGGGTTCGCCTACGGGCCAACCGAAGTTGGCGCTGTCGGCATACGAACCCCTCCAATGAGAGTCACCTGGAGGGGCCCTTGCCGTCCTTAGACGACTTGGGCTTCCCCCAGTTCCCCTTCTTCCCGCGAAAGGGCTGCTGAGAACCCTTACCGGAGCCCTCAGAGCGGGGCTTCTTCCCGGAGGAAGAAGGACCCGACCCCTTAGGCCTGCCGGACGCAGCATCCTGGGGCGCGCTCCGCTTCGGAGCGGCACCCAGGCGCCTATGCAAGGACCCCACAAGATCCAGTGTGTGCCGAGAGGCCTCGGCAGACACAGCGGCCTGTTGTTCCTTCAGAACCCCAGGGATCTTGTTATTAAACAGGGTCCGAGCAGACCAAGGCTGCGAAAGGAGCACCTCCTGATTAGCAGCGTCCAACCCTGAAGCAACCAGATACGACTGGCGCCGAAGAAAATGGCACGTGCCGGAAACAAAGGCCGAAGCCCCGGCAACGTACTCCAGGGAAGCATTCAAACCGAGCAAGCAGTTGTAAATGCGCTGGTCTCGGTCCGTGGGAGAACCTTCGACCAGACTGGCCGCTGCAGCCAGGTATGTGTCTCCGTGAGACATTGCCAGCATGGAGTGTCGAGCGAGGGTGTCCAGCTGTTGCAAGGTACCTTGTGGTACCGTGGCAACCGGTGGGGCACGGACCCCCAAACGCTCCACATGGGCTTCCGCAGAAGGACCAGCCTCGGGAAAGGCAAGGTCATGTACTGGGAAAGACCCTTTTCTCCACGACGGGGGAGGTAACGGGAGACCCCGACCGGAGGCAGCCGTGAAGGCCTTCTCCAAAGAAGGCTTAATCCCGCGCAGCAAGGTTGATGCCGGGAAAGCCTTGTCGGACGTCTCGTCGTATACCTCGGAGGAACCCACGGAACCGTGGATTCCCCGCGGTATCGGCAGGGGCTTTGGCATGTCCTCGAAGAGGTCATACACCATGGCAACGCGGTCCTTAACCGATAGCGGAAGCAACGGTTCGGGGGAAGGACCGGTAACCACGGCAGCCGCCGCCGTACCGGTGGACCCCGCGTCCGAACCCGCGGCCACCGAAGAGGCCGGGGACGGAACAGCCAGCGGCCTATCTTGCGATAAGGCCGCCAGCTTGGAGTCCACAAGTTTCGACAATAATGCGGCGACGGAAGCCCCAGACAGCCCGAGGGCCGCAAGGGGATCCGCCGCAGCCGAGGAGGTGGTACCCGCACGGGGACCCCGACCGGACGAACCGGCCACCACAGGGGTGGAGACTGACTGTACGTACAGCCGGTACCGCTCAAACTCCGCAGGCCCCAGACCTTCGCACAGGGTACACCGGGTGTCCCCGCAAGGAACCCTGCACCGCGGGCAACGATCGTGGGGATCCCGGGATGACAAAAACTTTCTGCACACCCCACAACTCCGAGGAGCAGGGGTAGAGGGGGTGGATACTGGGGACATATCCATGTCAGACATTGTTTGCTATAATCAAAGAACAAAACATGGTTACAACGCACGCACCACAACGATTCACAAACGAGCATTTTCACAAGAAAATAAACGAGCAATGTGAACATATAACATACACATATAACTTTTATTAAAGAAATAAGTTATGTTAACCCCCAAAACATACAAGAACAGGGGAAACGTAAAACACAACGTGCATACGCGAACCCCGCAAGTATAGAGAAAAAAGGGCGGGAAAATTTTTCCGTTTGGCGGGAAAATTATAACCAAGCGTAGCTACCGCAACGCCCCATAAAAGCACAGTTTATTAGAGAATAAACTATAATAAATATCACCAAATCTTCCAGGAACGCTTCAGCAGGAGAAAACACGTCTTGCTAAGCAGACGAAGGAGACAAGAGTGAAGGGTGTCACATGGCAGCTAGGTGGCTACGCACGTGCTGCATGAGGTAATTGAGATCTCTGTGGTAGATTTCGCTATAGCAGCAGTTGTGGGAGACAACAGCCTCGGTATAACAGTGGTAACGTATTACTTAATGTAATATAACAGTAAGGACAGATAACTGTCACATTGAATGTGATAAAAGCATGGATGATAACAGTAAGGACAGATAACTGTAACATTGAATGTGATAACTGCAGGGAATGATAACAGTAAGGACAGATAACTGTCACATGTAATGTGATAAATGCATGGATGATAACAGTAAAGACAGCCTACTGTAACATGGAATGTAATAACTGAAGGGATAATAACAGTAAAGACAGATAACTGTCACATGTAATGTGATGAGTGCATGGATGATAACAGTAAAGACAGCCTACTGTAACATGGAATGTGATAACTGAAGGGATGATAACAGTAAAGACAGCTAACTGTCACATGTAATGTGATAAATGCATGGATGATAACAGTAAAGACAGCCTACTGTAACATGGAATGTGATAACTGAAGGGATGATAACAGTAAAGACAGATAACTGTCCCATGGAATGTGATAAAAGCAGGGAAGATAACAGTAAAGACAGCCGACTGTAACATGGAATGTGATAACAGCAAGGACGATAACAGTAAAGACAGCCGACTTTAACATGTATGTGATAACTGAAGGGATGATAACAGTAAAGACAGATTACTGTAACATGGAATGTAATAACAGCAGTGATGGACAAATACATAGCCATTATTGTTGAGGCTGAACTTGCTTCCCTGAAAATGTCTGCATTAGTGATATGTGTTATCTGTGCTAATCACACTTCAATCGCATCATCAACCAATTGATGTGGTAGGGAGCATATACTGCTATTAAAGAAACACTTATGACCAAGTGAAAATCCTAAATTTGTTGAGCTTACACAGTGAGAACTTCTGTCCTTTCCCAGACCCTGACTTCCTGGTTTGACCCGGACTGTCCTGCTCCTCAGCTCCGCTTCCCTCCGTGCTGTCATCCATCTTGCCACCCTTATGATCCGACTCCTCGGATGAACTCTTAAACGCAGCATATGCTTTCCTCTTCATCTTCAAATAGGGTGTCTTCTTGGAGCTGTCGTAGAAGTGGATCAGGAGGGGAGTGATGGTAGCGTAATGCTTAAGACACAGAGGCTCCAGTCTGTAGGCCTGAAACAAATGGAAGGATAATAATACTATACCAGTGTATAAAATTCCCCAAAGTTTCAGTCAGACAACTGGACTCTCAACTTTGCAAAGTTACCAGAACAGATAGAATGTTGCCATTCCAGAATGCTCTAGACTGACGAACAAAAGTAACAAAGGGTAAACATAAGAATAGTACTGTTTAATGAGTGAGTGAGTGAGTATGGTTTTACGCCGCTTTTAGCAATATTCCAGCAATATCACAGCGGGGGACACCAGAAATGGGCTTCACACATTGTGCCCATGTCGGGAATCGAACCCGGGTCTTCGGCGTGACGAGCGAACGCTTTAACCACTAGGCTACCCGACCGCCCCTACTGTTTAATGTCAGTTCTCAGAAAATAACAATAAACTGGTTGATTGAAATTTTATTCATCAATAAGGAGTTTAACCTTTACAGTTAATATACCTGTCACACTGAAACTGGAATCATCGGGAGTGCAACTTTTCAAAACTGACTGTCCGTCAGCAAAATAGACCGTCTCAGTCTGTCTTGCAGGAGGGTATTTTAAAAACTGACTGTACATATATTTTTGAAAACCAATGGGAATGCATTCTGTTTCAAATTACATCATGAGGGTATGTTGTTGTTTTATGCAGCAGCCAACAATAAAACTTAGGTCTTTTAAATTGATCCTGGGTGTGGCAGTAAAAAATCAAATCAAATCAATAACCGCAGAGTCTGATATACACACTAATACACAATAAACACAACACATGGGCTGATATAAACACCACAAGGTTTTGATACAGACACCACAGGGTCTGATATACAACATACATACCACAGGGTCTGATATACACACTAATACACAATAAACACAACACATGGGCTGATATAAACACCACAAGGTTTTGATACAGACACCACAGGGTCTGATATACAATATACATGCCACAGGGTCTGATATACACACTAATACACAATAAACACAACACATGGGCTGATATAAACACCACAAGGTTTTGATACAGACACCACAGGGTCTGATATACAACATACATACCACAGGGTCTGATATACACACTAATACACAATAAACACAACACATGGGCTGATATAAACACCACAAGGTTTTGATACAGACACCACAGGGTCTGATATACAACATACATACCACAGGGTCTGATATACACACTAATACACAATAAACACAACACATGGGCTGATATAAACACCACAAGGTTTTGATACAGACACCACAGGGTCTGATATACAATATACATACCACATGGGCTGATATACACACTAATACACAATAAACACAACACATGGGCTGATATAAACACCACAAGGTTTTGATACAGACACCACAGGGTCTGATATACAATATACATGCCACATGGGCTGATATACAGACACAACAGGGTCTGATATACACACCACAGGGTTTGATACTTATTCCACAGGGTCTTATATACAATATACATACCACAGGGTCTGATATACACTCAACAGGGTCTGATACACAATATACATACCACAGTATCTGATATACACTCAACAGGGACAGATACACAATATACATACCACAGTATCTGATATACACTCAACAGGCTCTTATACACAATATACATACCACAAGGTCTTATATACATTCAACAGGCTCTTATACACAATATACATACCACAGGGTCTGATATACACTCAACAGGGTCTTATACACAATATACCTACCACAGGGTCTGATATACACACCACAGGGTCTGATACACAAAATACATACCACAGGGTCTGATGGATGGTAGATGTTGAAGAGCCTTTTACAGATAGACGTGGGGAGGATGTGGTCGTGTGTGCCCTTGCTCTGGGGTCGGATCCCTCTGAGAGCGAGGAACACAGCTAGTGGAGAGCCCAGACAGAACAGATTTTCCAGCTGCAGATGACAGACATGAGTTACTCTACATGAAACCAATGAACTGCCAAACATATACGATATGAAGGAAAGTATCCAGTATTTAGAAAGTATAATAATATTGAGAATTGCTTGTAGTTGATGTTTACAACAAATGGATTATCCAGAAATAAATATACAATGGTGAAATGTTCTTAAAAGTTTACTTTATAATGTTTATATTGAAAATCTTTGTGGATTGCACTTTTGCCAGGTCAGCAATCTTGAGTAATGTAGTAGAGTAAAGGAGGATGAAAAAAACCCCTGACAAATACATGTTTGTTTGCTTGTTGTTTAACCTCGCACTCAGCAATATTCCAGCTATATGACAGCAGTCTGGACCAGACAATCTTGTGATTGACATCATGGGCATTGATCCAGACAATTGGGATATGATGAGATGCATCAACCAAGTCAGTGAGCCTGACCACCCGATCCCGTTAGTCGCCTATTACGGCAAGCATAGTCACCTCTCACGGCAAGCATATTGGTTGCTGAAGACCTATCCTCCCCGAATCTTCTCGGGTTACAAATACATGTATGACCATGATGAGTGATTTAGTTTGGTTTAAGTCCGCTTTGGACAGTTTTTCAGTCATGTTATATCATGGTGTCAGCTTGATGTGGGTGGAAAGACGTAAGTGATCAAGTTTAAACCCACGAACACGGGTATGAAACATGATGAGGGCAAATCTGGGATTCGAACCATCAATCATAGGTGTTTCGATCACTCGGTCTCGGTGTCTCGATTAGCAAATCGAGGAATCATTTGGGACAACTGGGCGATCCATGCCCCCAGTACTTGAGAGCAAAGCCCATATGTTCATGTTTTAAGATGAGCTGTGGACATATTGTATTTGTTTGTTAGTTTCTTTGTTGTGTTTAGCCAGATTCAGCAACATTCTGGCCATATGACAATGGTCTGTGAATAATCAAGTCTTGTCCAGACAATCCAATAATTGACATCATGAGCATTGTTCAGCAATTTGGACACAATGACATGCATCAAACAATTCACTGAACCTCACCACCTGATCCTGTTAGTTGCCTCTTGCAACAAACATTGGTTACTGACTAATTCTAACCTTTGATCTTGACAGGACGAGACAGAGTGTGTCATCTGATGCATCCACACACCATGTAATGCTGCACCCCTGTGCCTGTTAGTCAACTAACCATGCAACGTGTAGCTTTCATTGTTACAGCAATGGCAGTAGTCAGTGTGCGGCAGGTAAATACACAATAGTTCCCTGCCCGTTTGTGACTTTTGCTTAGTATTATTGGACACAGGTAATCATGAGTGAGTGAGTGAGTGAGTGAGTGAGTGAGTGAGTGAGTGAGTGAGTGAGTGAGTTAGTGAGTGAGTGAGTGAGTGAGTGAGTGAGTGAGTGAGAGTGAGTGAGTTTGATCTTACGCCGCTTTGGGCAATATTCCAGCAATATCACGCGGGGGACACCAGAAATGGGCTTCACACATTGCACCAATGTTGGGAATCGAACCCGGGTCTTCGGCATGAAGAGCCAACACTTTAACCACTAGGCTAACTGACCGCCCCCTGGTAATCATGATTCCATATAATTTCTCTCTGACAATCATGATTATCACTTACTTTGAACTGGAGAGGTTGTTTTGCTTTCACTTGTTTTTCATGAACACTTTTGAGCGATGCTTCAAGTTCATTAACCCTGAAAAATGATTTTTTTCTGGCGTTCAAACACTGTGTCAAAATAGAATTGTCATAGCAACGAAACTAGAAATGAAAGCAATTTAGGTTTAATAGTTCTGTTTGTTTGTTGTGAAACAGCACACTCATCAATATTCAAGGTATATATAACATATAATAATCGAATCTGGATGAGACAATCCAGTGATTGACATTGTGAACAACAAGCCATGCCTCTGTATACCAATGATCACAGGTATGATGCCGACAAACTGAAGATCATATTCATATTCATGGCAAATCTGGGATTCAAACTAATTTGTCAGATCCTGGCACTGTGAAGGGAGACAATTTTCTCTTGCAAAAATGAAGCAAGTGTGCCTCCTAACTTTTACATGTTACCATGGCATGTGAGTTCACGGTGTGAGGAAAGGCAATGCGATGCAGGTCCTATAAGTTATAGGTTCACCAATATGATGCAACCCATGGGAATGGTCCTGACAAACCAATACAAATCAGGCTAATTTGGGCCTCTCTGCAGACCAAATTGCTGAGCATCAGATGACTGGGGTTTCCAGTCAGTGCATGGAAGGAGGAAGCAGAAATAATCTTTTTACCATACATCTTAAAATGTCATCCCAAATGATAACAATATCTTTTGTGGAATAAAAAAGCACACAGGAGGCACAAATGAGACATGTATCAAAGAACATGTAGGAAGAGATTCAGACCGTTTCCTTGCTTGCTCCATTTCCTCCTGCAACTTGTTGGAGCCCTCTGCATTCTCACTTTCTTCATCCTGAGGGGCAGAAACATAATCCTGTGATAACATAGTCTCCAGATCTGGGGAACTAACTAATTTATTTGTCAAATGTTTTGGTTAGGCGATGACTGACTCTCTTGGATTCTTGGATGAAAGAGATGAAGATGTGAGGTCATTGCTAAACAAAGCCTTGGTTCAGATAAATTCCTGGCAGACAGCTGAACTGGCAAGTCTTAATAAATTGGCAGGCCAGTTAAAAATTGTCCAGACAAATTCTTTTTTTACACTGGACTGAACAGCAAAGATACACAACTACAGATCAGAATTACTAATGGGGGTAAACTCATATCATCAGTTCATAATGTTCACATCATCCCTAATTCAATATGTTTAAGTAATTCATAATTCATAATGTTCACATCATCCCTAATTCAATATGTTCAAATAATTCATAATTCAATATGTTCACATCATCCCTTATTCAATATGTTCAAATAATTCATAATTCATTATGTTCACATCATTCATGATTCATTATGTTCACATCATTCATAATTCATTGTTCACATCATCCCTAATTCAATATGTTCAAATAATTCATAATTCATTATGTTCACATCATTCATGATTCATTATGCTCACATCATTCATAATTCATTGTTCACATCATCCCTTATTCAATATGTTCAAATAATTCATAATTCATTATGTTCACATCATTCATGATTCATTATGTTCACATCATTCATAATTCATTGTTCACATCATCCCTAATTCAATATGTTCAAATAATTCATAATTCATTATGTTCACATCATTCATGATTCATTATGCTCACATCATTCATAATTCATTGTTCACATCATCCCTAATTCAACATGTTCAAATAAGTCATAATTCATAATGTTCACATGATCCCTAATTCAAAATGTTCAAATAATTCATAATTCTTTATGTTCACATCATTCATAACTCATATATTCACATCATCACAAGTTCAAATCATTTTATAAGTTCATATCATACGTAACGGATTTAATGCCGCTTTCTACAGTATTCCAGTTATATCAAGTCAAAGTATGTCAGCTAAAAGTAGGAGGAGAGTCATATCATTCATAATATATCATAACTAAATGTTTTTGTGTCAGGGATGAAATCGCAAATGTTTTCATTATTTGATCGACGATCTCATTGCCTATGGCTATATGACTGGATATCGCGTTTTCAATACAAGCGGCACAACTTGTGATCTGCGTGAGGTGGTGCCAGGGTCAATCCAAGAAAAGTGGCCTTGATGTAGCAAGAGTAGAAACTAGGCTTTGCTACATCTAGTGGCTAGTGGACTAGTGGAGGCTAGTGGACACACTTGCCTCGGGAACAAACAGTTGCTAGTTGTTAGATACTCACAATGACAGATGTGACGAATTCATCATACAGCTTCATGGGATTCCAGCCGGTGATGATGTCATAGGTTATCACACACCCTGAAACAAACAACATTGTGCATGAGTGACAGTGCTGTTAGAAGCTGAAAACCACACCATCACTGATTACCCTGATGAAAATCACAGAAAGTATGTGAAACTCCAGTAATCTCATACCCTGCCTTGACTGTCCTGTTTACAGCAGGTGCCTGTCACAATCCATTAGAAAACAGTAGTGATGAAACCATACAGGTTACGATAAATATGTACGTCACAATACAATACATATTGTGGTATGCACATTTCCGTCAAATCATGTGGAAACTTCTTGAATATAACTATTACAGAGAAGTTCAAAAAGAAAAGCTAGCTGTAGACACATGCTCGTGGCGGTTCATTTTAGAAATCATCTTGAAACGCTATTTACAATTCATTTTGCATTATTTGACCAACACAAATTCTGGGTCATTAACAAGTAGTAAGTAATTCATTTTAGGAAGTGTATCACCTAGTATCAATACATTAAAAAATGTATCATGCATCCTATCATTGCATGTAAACTCAGGATGTACTGGTGCACAGATGTATTATTTCAACACAAGACACCAGATAAATGTTGAGCAGATTGTAGATTGGGAATACAATGTTTGTGATGCAAACTTAGTTCCACTTCTACTGGTTAGACACCACATTTGTTTCTTTATAGTTATCAAACCGCCTTGTGTCAAACTCAACGGTCAGTGAGAACTCTGTAATGTCCGCTGACCACATGTTACTGACCTGCTGACAGATACCTTATAGAACAAGATCCTTGTGTACCACACAACCCAGGAACAGTGAGGTGAGGTGAGGTGAGGTGAGGCGAAATGGGGTTCAACGTCGTGTCCAAGATTATTGCACTTATATAGCAAAAGGCATGGACATGCGTGCCCGCATGCACTTGTACTAGTCAAGACTGATTCCTATTTTATAGTGCTAGCCCACTGAGATACCATACCGCAGTTTAACATGAATACCCCACTCAGACACAGTATACTGACTCCGAGCCGACCAGTCCTTGTTTTAGCCACCTAATACCGAGCGCCAGACAGGGTAACAACAAGTACCATCTTTTAACATCTTTTTGTATGACGCAGCCGGAGATTGAACCCGGACCTTCCGCTCTCTGGACGGTTGCCTACCACTAGACCACGGAGGCGGTCCCAGAAACAGTGATATCATGTCTACATGGCCAAATGGAAATATGTTATAACTTATATCATCATATCTTTAGAGACTAAACAAAGAGCTTCAAGAAATGACAGACCAAATTAATTTTGTAGCTTTTCAAACTGCAGGATTTATCTAGCCTATTTCAGGACAATATTTGAGCCCAAGTCTGCAGCAAATATAAAAATCTTATTCATGTAATTAGAAAGCTACCTTCAAATACTGAAAGCTACCAGCCCTTATTTAAAGTACCAGTGCTTCAGTAAGTTCACACGTCTGCTGTGCTGTTTACTCACCAAGTGAGTGTGCCACCACAGACACCTTCCCTCCATTCACTTCGAAGTAGGGGTGTCGCGAACAGAACAAAGCATAGAGACGGTTCATCTCATGCTGAAGGCTATGTGTAATCTGCAACAGACAATGATGGAGACATGATGCTAAACACTGTAACTATGGTAACTATGAAGGTTCTGGAAACGATTTGTGACTAGATTGGATGAAAGCTGAATTCTACCATGAATTTGGAATATACTTGACTTTGATCATCTTCCCGAGGAAAGGGAGTTAACGGACTGTAAAAGTCCAGTTTCCTCCCTTGCCAAAATAGGCTGCAATTATGGATAACTTGTTTGATAGGCATTACTTAGAAGTTGGCGGATGACAAGATAGACACAATTTTATGGATAACAACTTCTTTAATACTGTAAAAAGCGACGTTTCGGTATAGATCCTTATACCGTTGTCAAGCAAGACTGCATGAGGGACATAGTGCAGAATGATTTCACCAAAAGAAAACTAACAGAAGCAGTCCACATTCGCCGCCACAACCCAACAATCAACAGAGATCAAGGCTATTTCATCCCATCCGCCTACTATGAACTCATCAAACAGTAATCACCTGTTTATTGGCTTCATGCCCCATTGGCTTCTAGCTATGTGTTTTCTGTCCATCATGTTGTGATAGCATCATCCTTGTTGTCACACCTACCTATGTTATCCCACTCATGTATGCCCTTGTTGTTACTGTTAATCCTCTACTGTTAATCTTCCACTTGCTATATATATTCTGCACTATGTCCCTCATTCAGTCTTGCTTGACAACGGTATAAGGATCTATACCGAAACGTCGCTTTTTACAGTATTAAAGAAGTTGTTATCCATAAAATTGTGTCTATCTTGCAATTATGGAGTTATAATTTGGCTGGACTGAGAAGTCTTTGCATTGTCCAATCAAAATCGCATAACGAAATCAACATCCGGTTCTTAAGCAACATGGATTTCAACGTGCAGATTTTCGGTTGACTGCAGGATTTGCAAAAGTGTACCGTCAACTGGGCGATGACACATATTTTCCAAATCTTTTCATGTTTTTAACGAAGGTGGTGACGAGATTTGATGCACTTCGCGAAGTAAGACTCGTTATATTACAAAATGTCTTGATCATCAGTCAGATTGTATTGACTGGGTGCCACCATTTTGTTTGAAGCAAATGCAAGTGATATGAGAGGTGGAATCTAATTGGTCAATAAGAGGGGCATAGAATAGGCACAACTCGTAATAGCCACTGGTGGCACTACTGTCAAGCCCAGATTTTCCAGCCTAGTTCGGCAAGGGTGGAAACTGGACTTTTACATCAGTTAACTCCCTTGCCTCAGGAAGATGGATTTTGATAGGTGAATCAGAGATTATCAAATCACAATAAACAGCCAATTTGACGGACATATCACCGAGGAAGCTAATATATTTATAATAGTACTTCATTTACAGTCAGTGTCGGTAGGCTGCCACCAAAGAGTTTGCGAGGAATGGAGACTGACACATCACCTCCGAATATAATATTTAGAATTCATTACTCCAACCCTGATTGAAACAAAGATCTGCAAGAACTTAATCACTGCGAGTTCCACAAGTTGATCCATTTTCCAAAGGTCACAGAACCTGTTTATTGTGCTGTAAAACAATTTGTGGATATACCTCTATGACATCATGAAGTGTCCATAACAAAACATTTCCTTCCATGGGAGGCTTAGAACTTATCAATCAACCTTTGTAGAAGAACTGTAAACAAGAATAATCTGCACCCTACCATGTCTATATTAAAAGTGCTCACCAGTTGAATTAATGGGTCTGTAATTTGAGGTTATAGAGTTATAGATGCACAATCTATCTTTGGAGGCTTCTATGATGTCTTACCTTGGACCTGGATAGGGACTTGTATAATGTGGATTGTCTTACCTTGGACCTGGATAGGGACTTGTATAATGTGGATTGTCTTACCTTGGACCTGGATAGGGACTTGTATAACGTGGATTGTCTTACCTTGGACCTGGATAGGGACTTGTATAATGTGGATTGTCTTACCTTGGACCTGGATAGGGACTTGTATAATGTGGATTGTCTTACCTTGGACCTGGATAGGGACTTGTATAATGTGGATTGTCTTACCTTGGACCTGGATAGGGACTTGTATAATGTGGATTGTCTTACCTTGGACCTGGATAGGGACTTGTATAATGTGGATTGTCTTACCTTGGACCTGTTTAGGGGGAGGGCAGGTATTTTTTGGATTGTCTCACCATGGACCTGAATCAGGGGCTTGTAAAATGTCTTCTTTCTCTCCTTGGACCTGAATAGGGTGTTTGTATAATGTGGATTGTCTTACCATGGACCTGTAGAGGGGGGCTTGTAAAATGTCCTCTTTTCTCTTTTTGGGCCTCAATCGGGGGTTTGTATTATGTGGACTGTCTTACCTTGGACCTGTTTAGGGGGTTTGTATAATGTGGACAGTCTTACCTCGGACCTGTATAGGGGGGTTTGTATAATGTGGACAGTCTTACCTCAGACCTGTATAGGGGGTTGGTATAATGTGGACAGTCTTACCTCTGACCTGTAAAGGGGGTTGGTATAATGTGGACTGTCTTACCTCAGACCTGTATAGGGGGTTGGTATAATGTGGACTGTCTTACCTCTGACCTGTATAGGGGGTTGGTATAATGTGGACGGTTTCACCTCAGACCTGTATAGGGCACTTGTATAATGTGGACTGTCTTACCTTGGACCTGTATAGGGGGTTTATATAATGTGGACAGTCTTACCTCAGGCCTGTTTAGGGGGTTTGTATAATGTGGACAGTCTTACCTCTGACCTGTATAGGGGGTTGGTATAATGTGGACTGTCTTACCTCAGACCTGTATAGGGGACTTGTATAATGTGGACTGTCTTACCTTGGACCTGTACAGGGGGTTGGTATAATGTGGACAGTCTTACCTCAGACCTGTATGGGGTGTTGGTATAATGTGGACGGTTTCACCTCAGACCTGTATAGGGGACTTGTATAATGTGGACAGTCTCATCTCAGACCTGTATGGGGGTTTGTATAATGTGGACTGTCTTACCTCTGACCTGTATAGGGGGTTGGTATAATGTGGAGTGTCTTACCTCTGACCTGTATAGGGGGTTGGTATAATGTGGAGTGTCTTACCTCTGACCTGTATAGGGGGTTGGTATAATGTGGAGTGTCTTACCTCTGACCTGTAAAGGGGGTTGGTATAATGTGGACGGTTTCACCTCTGACCTGTATAGGGGGTTGGTATAATGTGGACAGTCTTACCTCTGACCTGTATAGGGGGTTGGTATAATGTGGACTGTTTCACCTCTGACCTGTATAGGGGGGTTGGTATAATGTGGACTGTCTTACCTCTGACCTGTATAGGGGGTTGGTATAATGTGGACTGTCTTACCTCTGACCTGTATAGGGGGTTGGTATAATGTGGACTGTCTTACCTCTGACCTGTATAGGGGGTTGGCATAATGTGGACAGTCTTACCTCTGACCTGTATAGGGGGTTGGTATAATGTGGACTGTCTTACCTCTGACCTGTATAGGGGGTTGGTATAATGTGGACGGTTTCACCTCAGACCTGTATAGGGCACTTGTATAATGTGGACTGTCTTACCTTGGACCTGTATAGGGGGTTTATATAATGTGGACAGTCTTACCTCAGGCCTGTTTAGGGGGTTTGTATAATGTGGACAGTCTTACCTCTGACCTGTAAAGGGGGTTGGTATAATGTGGACTGTCTTACCTCAGACCTGTATAGGGGGTTGGTATAATGTGGAGTGTCTTACCTCTGACCTGTATAGGGGGTTGGTATAATGTGGACTGTCTTACCTCTGACCTGTATAGGGGGTTGGCATAATGTGGACAGTCTTACCTCTGACCTGTATAGGGGGTTGGTATAATGTGGACTGTCTTACCTCTGACCTGTATAGGGGGTTGGTATAATGTGGACGGTTTCACCTCAGACCTGTATAGGGCACTTGTATAATGTGGACTGTCTTACCTTGGACCTGTATAGGGGGTTTATATAATGTGGACAGTCTTACCTCAGGCCTGTTTAGGGGGTTTGTATAATGTGGACAGTCTTACCTCTGACCTGTATAGGGGGTTGGTATAATGTGGACTGTCTTACCTCAGACCTGTATAGGGGACTTGTATAATGTGGACTGTCTTACCTTGGACCTGTACAGGGGGTTGGTATAATGTGGACAGTCTTACCTCAGACCTGTATGGGGTGTTGGTATAATGTGGACGGTTTCACCTCAGACCTGTATAGGGGACTTGTATAATGTGGACAGTCTCATCTCAGACCTGTATGGGGGTTTGTATAATGTGGACTGTCTTACCTCTGACCTGTATAGGGGGTTGGTATAATGTGGAGTGTCTTACCTCTGACCTGTATAGGGGGTTGGTATAATGTGGAGTGTCTTACCTCTGACCTGTATAGGGGGTTGGTATAATGTGGAGTGTCTTACCTCTGACCTGTAAAGGGGGTTGGTATAATGTGGACGGTTTCACCTCTGACCTGTATAGGGGGTTGGTATAATGTGGACAGTCTTACCTCTGACCTGTATAGGGGGTTGGTATAATGTGGACTGTTTCACCTCTGACCTGTATAGGGGGGTTGGTATAATGTGGACTGTCTTACCTCTGACCTGTATAGGGGGTTGGTATAATGTGGACTGTCTTACCTCTGACCTGTATAGGGGGTTGGTATAATGTGGACTGTCTTACCTCTGACCTGTATAGGGGGTTGGCATAATGTGGACAGTCTTACCTCTGACCTGTATAGGGGGTTGGTATAATGTGGACTGTCTTACCTCTGACCTGTATAGGGGGTTGGTATAATGTGGACGGTTTCACCTCAGACCTGTATAGGGCACTTGTATAATGTGGACTGTCTTACCTTGGACCTGTATAGGGGGTTTATATAATGTGGACAGTCTTACCTCAGGCCTGTTTAGGGGGTTTGTATAATGTGGACAGTCTTACCTCTGACCTGTATAGGGGGTTGGTATAATGTGGACTGTCTTACCTCAGACCTGTATAGGGGACTTGTATAATGTGGACTGTCTTACCTTGGACCTGTACAGGGGGTTGGTATAATGTGGACAGTCTTACCTCAGACCTGTATGGGGTGTTGGTATAATGTGGACGGTTTCACCTCAGACCTGTATAGGGGACTTGTATAATGTGGACAGTCTCATCTCAGACCTGTATGGGGGTTTGTATAATGTGGACTGTCTTACCTCTGACCTGTATAGGGGGTTGGTATAATGTGGAGTGTCTTACCTCTGACCTGTATAGGGGGTTGGTATAATGTGGAGTGTCTTACCTCTGACCTGTATAGGGGGTTGGTATAATGTGGAGTGTCTTACCTCTGACCTGTAAAGGGGGTTGGTATAATGTGGACGGTTTCACCTCTGACCTGTATAGGGGGTTGGTATAATGTGGACAGTCTTACCTCTGACCTGTATAGGGGGTTGGTATAATGTGGACTGTTTCACCTCTGACCTGTATAGGGGGGTTGGTATAATGTGGACTGTCTTACCTCTGACCTGTATAGGGGGTTGGTATAATGTGGACTGTCTTACCTCTGACCTGTATAGGGGGTTGGTATAATGTGGACTGTCTTACCTCTGACCTGTATAGGGGGTTGGTATAATGTGGACGGTTTCACCTCTGACCTGTATAGGGGGTTGGTATAATGTGGACAGTCTTACCTCTGACCTGTATAGGGGGTTGGTATAATGTGGAGTGTCTTACCTCTGACCTGTATAGGGGGTTGGTATAATGTGGAGTGTCTTACCTCTGACCTGTATAGGGGGTTGGTATAATGTGGAGTGTCTTACCTCTGACCTGTATAGGGGGTTGGTATAATGTGGACTGTCTTACCTCTGACCTGTATAGGGGGTTGGTATAATGTGGAGTGTCTTACCTCTGACCTGTATAGGGGGTTGGTATAATGTGGAGTGTCTTACCTCTGACCTGTATAGGGGGTTGGTATAATGTGGACTGTCTTACCTCTGACCTGTATAGGGGGTTGGTATAATGTGGAGTGTCTTACCTCTGACCTGTATAGGGGGTTGGTATAATGTGGACGGTTTCACCTCTGACCTGTATAGGGGGTTGGTATAATGTGGACAGTCTCATCTCAGACCTGTATGGGGGTTTGTATAATGTGGACTGTCTTACCTCTGACCTGTATAGGGGGTTGGTATAATGTGGACGGTTTCACCTCAGACCTGTATAGGGGACTTGTATCATGTGGACAGTCTTACCCCTGACCTGTATAGGGGGTTGGTATAATGTGGAGTGTCTTACCTCTGACCTGTATAGGGGGTTGGTATAATGTGGACTGTCTTACCTCTGACCTTTAAAGGGGGTTGGTATAATGTGGACAGTCTCATCTCAGACCTGTATGGGGGTTTGTATAATGTGGACAGTCTTACCTCTGACCTGTATAGGGGGTTGGTATAATGTGGACGGTTTCGCCTCAGACCTGTATAGGGGACTTGTATCATGTGGACTGTCTTACCCCTGACCTGTATAGGGGGTTGGTATAATGTGGAGTGTCTTACCTCTGACCTGTATAGGGGGTTGGCATAATGTGGACTGTCTTACCTCTGACCTGTATAGGGGGTTGGTATAATGTGGACTGTTTCACCTCAGACCTGTATAGGGGACTTGTATAATGTGGAGTGTCTTACCTCTGACCTGTAAAGGGGGCTTGTATAATAAAGAATATCCATGGCACTGCTGTTCAATATATTTCTCATTCCCCTCATCTTGTGTGGTGTAATTGACTCAACTGTGTCTGAAGTACGAATAAAAATATCCATTACTTTTCACACCAGTTCCTATTAAATAATATACATCGCCAACAAATTCAACCACTAAAGCATTCTCAAAGACTTACATTATTACCCTGGTAAGATTATCCACATATATATTGGACAAATACGAAATTACTTTTTCAAGAGTATGTCATTAAGATTGAAGCCTGTTTGTTATTCTCAGATGCTCAATTATACATCTGCAACATACTCCTATCATATCGCAGGCTATTTATTAGTTACATGTACCTAATAAACAGACTTTAGGTATGTAACATTAATTATAAGTTAATTTATCATGTTTAAGTATGATAATGCAGATGTACATAAGTTCTTCTGTTCTGAGTTTAATGTTACCTCCATCCAACTTGAGCGAAGATCTCCATTCCACTGGGAGAAACTCCGACCTCTTGTTATGTTGATCAAAATCAGGGAAGTATTTTTGCTTTAGGTGAACCACTCTCTCCCTCAAACTGGTGATAATGATAATGATAGTGAAAGAGAACATTTTGAAAAATATCAAGGAAAATAATATAGCTGCAAGCAGCGATGTCGGGCTCCCGCTGGTTATAATTGTAGCAGCGGATCCTGTTCTATTCATAGATGTACTTTTGTAAAATTGCACTTTGGTTATACAGAGTACTAAAAACCATTGAAACTGAGTTCTTAATTTAACTAATTTATTACCATTAAGGCATTTTCTCCTGTTGTTACATAAAAGCATTCGGATATGCGGAAGGATATGTGCTATACTGTGTACGAGTATAAGATGATCTGGATTATCAATAGGATATTTCACCGGTCCGTTTTGACCAAGAAAAAAATTCCCATTTTGGCTCAGGGTATGTTCAGGATGGAAGATACCAGCATGCAGGGGTGTTGGTGACTTGTTATTGTAATTGGCAGGACATGGATCTTGACATTTGACACGTGCTAAGGGATGAGATGGCTTGGGACATTATCTAACAGTAACAACACATGTCGGTCACCTCTTGTCATCTCCTTATTGAAGCAATTCAACCAATCAGCAAAGAAAACCCCAAGTCTTCCAAGCTTTTGTTATCAAAGTTTCAAAGAAAATTAGCTGTAAACGCAATAGAGATCATAACACTTAAGTAAGTAAACAAAGGGACTGGTTTCTAAACGATAATGATATTGGTAAATAATACTTCCTTAAGTTGGCATTATATCAGGGATGTCTCAGAAACAAAATGGAATTTTCAATAATGAACATGTTCGCATTATAAAAAGGTAATTTGATAGTGTGGAAATCCGTTCTAAGAAACCACGTGGTGTTACTTTGATACCAATGATACAAGGTCATGGTCATTCATAATTGGCGCCCTATGAAGCTTCAGAAGTGTGGACCTTCTAAAACAGGTCATTTTTCCTGTTTACTTACAAGTCACTACCGGTATCAAGAAGGATATGTGCATTACTGTGTATCATTATAATATAGCCTTTATTAACTATGTGACATGTAACTTGTCCGTTTTGACTGTGAAAAACAGTCCATTTTGGCACAGGTCCAGTTTGGCATTATTAAGGGTGGTAACTCTATTCGTCCCGTTGGCAACTGGAGCCTTCATTACCCGCCACTACAACAGTATCAACATCTGTAGCCGAGTATTATACTGCTCTCCTATCTTCTATTTTACCTAGTATCAGTGCCGGCCGAAAGAATAAGTGTTTGTGCGTTTAACACAATCTACCGGGAGCTTAATTAGCGCGTCTCGCAAAACGCTACCGTGGCTCACGCTCCAATATGCACTCGACTGACCCATCCTCGGTCAAGCTAACGCGCTGTGCGGTCAATAAACATGCATTCCGCAATTCTGTGTTTCCTTAACTCTATTGACAGTGTGTATTGTGAATTCGCGCCAATGCAGATATGAGCTTCCACGTGGACCACTAACGAACAAAAAATACGATGTTGATATAGATCCATCTGAAAACAATAATGCCCTCCATACATCATGTCATACAAGGTGTCTGGTTCTGTTATGTGTTTTACACACATCTGGATTTATCGTCCATACGTGCATGTGCGCAAAACTGCGTGCTTCCCGCTGGCAGAGAGTACAACATATAGCGCGAAGAAAATCCATACAGAAACAGACTATAGAAATCGCTATCGTCGAAACATGAAGTGAACCTGTCTGTTGTAGTAAGAAAATTATGACAAGTACGTTTAAAAGATAGTACATTAATCGGAGAGTTCAGCGAGATCAAACTTTCAATCACAAACCTGCCGTAAATCCCACAGTCTGAACAGCATTTATGAAGGAGGTAACACTTCGGGCGAGATGTAGGTCATGTTTTGACTGAAGCACCCCACACGCGGCTCTCGGACGACCTCGCTATTACCGTGCACGTGGGTCACGTTCCAATATGCACCCGACCGACCGACCGACCGACCAAGCCGCATGGGACTGAGGTACGCTAACACACTGTGAGGCCAATAAACATGTATGCGCAGTTCTTTGCTTAACTGACTATGTGTATTGTGAATTCGCGCCAATTGATGCAGATATGAGCTTTGACATAACAAAACATGCGATGTTGATATTTGCTCCAAGTTTCTATACAGAACCGTTGAACGTACGAGCGCAAACGTAAATGTATTTCTATAGTCCGTTTCTGCTTGCGTTGTCCATCAGCTGTTTTAACACTGTATCTCATTGACCCTGATAACTGATTTCTGTAGTCCACAGCCGAAAACTATACACAAAGCTCACGTACTACAGACTGTAGTTTGTTATATAAATAAACCTATACCGACAATAGTGTAGCGTATAGCGCCAAGAGAACGGAATCGTATGCACGAGTATTGCTGTCGATTGAAGTGCAGTGAACGGGACTTATTTGTCATTCTATGGCTGCTTCTTTCAGTGTCTTTTACTTTAAAAAAATGTTTGAAGCGTTCGTAAAGCACCCATGTCACCCCCACTAAATGACATTTCCAGAACATGTGAAATAAGAGTTTGATGTATGTAGGATTTGTGATTTGTGACTGCACTTCAATATCGAATTGCACATGTAAATACCAAAGATTGCCTAGTCTGCCAGTTGTTGAATGATCTGGTTAGGAGAAAGATGTTGAAAGATGTTGTTATACATAAATTATGCATCATTTCTCTCCCCGTCGTCTTATTTCCTATGTCGCTACAATTGGTCGTGGTAGCAGACATCCCCACTCAATATACATATACCAAATCTGGTCGAAATCGGACAAGTAGTTTCGGAGTTACGGGTATTTAGAGTTCAGCTACGGGTATTTAGAGTTGTGCTATTTGGCAAGTTTATGGACCTGGGCCAAAGAGTGCCATTTTCAAAAAGCTGTAGCTCCGTTGTCCATGGAGCTACAGACAAACGGTTTGGTGTTCTGGAATCGCCAGGAAAAGGGCTATCAGGGAAATATATCACATTTGACATAAATACATGTTTTCATTGAATTTGTTAGTATGGTACTTGGAGCCAAAGTCTGGAGAGTTTGGAAGCTTTTGAGCTGGTAGTTTGAGCTGAGCAGATTTTGGGAGTCAAGTACTGAGAAATCTGCTAAAAAACAGTGCAAAAACACTTAATCCGATCTGGAGGCCAAACGAAGCAATTTCGCTACATTGGATGTGTAGAGATTTTGTTTGGCATCTGATTCCGGATCTGTTCAGGAATTTTGGAAGTCTTTGGAGCTTTCGTGGCGGAGTTATGAGCTGTTGAAATTGCGATTTTTAAAGTTGTTTTGAGTTATCTGCCCTTAGTCTTTGAGTCTAGAGTCTTGAGATTTTTGTGGTATCTGCTTCAGGATCTAAGGTATCTTTGTGGAAATTTTGAAGACATTCTGAGCAGTAGTTTTGGAGTTAGGATTGGAACAAAAAACGCCGGAATAATAATAATAATAAAGAATAATAATAATAATAAATCGAACAATTACAATAGGGCTCTTGCCTTGTAGGCAGGGAGCCCTAATAAGAAATCGTTATTTTTGCGATTTTGGCACTTTTGACCCCGGGATCGGGTAGCTGGACTAAAACCATTTAAAAAAATTCAAGGTCACCAAGGTCACGGGGTCAAGGTCATTTAGGTGGTCCGTAAAACGAAAATGTACTTTTTTTGGCGAGCTCTCACGCGGCCGTTATTGCATGTATGGTGGAAGTGATTAGTAATTATGCATTACCCCGACCAGTTCTAGCATATGTATAGGTGAATTTTGATGATATGCATGTCCGCCGTCTGTCCGCGCGTCTGTCCACCAAAACTCTGTTTTGTCATTTTCTCACGAACTATCTAACTTACAAAGCTGAAACTTTGCAGACATCTTCCTATGGTCTGTATATAATAGTTCTGTGAATATCAATGCATTCCGTTGTCAAATTTGGTTTCCATGGCAACCTGACGACAAAAAACTTAAATCCAAGATGGCGGCCAAACGGCTGGAAATATCCATTTTTAGGCCTGGATCGAAAATGATCGCTATCTTATGACGGTGTCACATGCAAAATATGGAGGTTATTGGAGCAATTTTGGCGGAGATATATGCTGTTTTGTGCCGTTTTTATCACTTTTGGCATTTTCACGGTCTTTAATCCAATATGGACGCCAAATGATGCAACTTTTGACAAACAGCTAAGAACAGGAAATGTTCAGCGTCTGATGCTGGTGCATTGTGGTCATTTGTAGCACTTTCTATCAAGAACTTTAGCAGCTACGTAGTTTGCAAAGTAAAAATATGAGAGGCTAGCAAAATCCAATATGGCCGCCACATCACGTGACTTTTGACATAAGAGCAAGAAGAGATCTTGTTCAGCAACCAAAGCAAGACTCAACAGAAGTTGTTTAAATGCCTTACCTGATAAGTTTCCAATGCCAGAGCTAGCTAAAGATGTCCTCTCAAAAGTTTAAAAATAACTTTGAGCCGGAAGTCGGAGTCAATATGGCGGCCATTGAAGACATATCTGAGGATTTTTTCTTTGAATTTGTTAGTATGGTACTTGGAGCCAAAGTCTGGAGAGTTTGGAAGCTTTTGAGCTGGTAGTTTGAGCTGAGCAGATTTTGGGAGTCAAGTACTGAGAAATCTGCTAAAAAACAGTGCAAAAACACTTAATCCGATCTGGAGGCCAAACGAAGCAATTTCGCTACATTGGATGTGTAGAGATTTTGTTTGGCATCTGATTCCGGATCTGTTCAGGAATTTTGGAAGTCTTTGGAGCTTTCGTGGCGGAGTTATGAGCTGTTGAAATTGCGATTTTTAAAGTTGTTTTGAGTTATCTGCCCTTAGTCTTTGAGTCTAGAGTCTTGAGATTTTTGTGGTATCTGCTTCAGGATCTAAGGTATCTTTGTGGAAATTTTGAAGACATTCTGAGCAGTAGTTTTGGAGTTAGGATTGGAACAAAAAACGCCGGAATAATAATAATAATAAAGAATAATAATAATAATAAATCGAACAATTACAATAGGGCTCTTGCCTTGTAGGCAG